AAAGAGGCTGAAAGAGCTCTGAGTTAGAGGTCCATACAATAAGTTAACAGATAGAAAAAGACTCGCTATTGGTGAATGGCTCCACTATAATTGCTAAAGAACAGATAAATAGCTTAACACTTAATGCGTCGTAATTGTCATAGCAACGCTCTAACAGTTTCCATGGTTTTTAATTGAATTTTATAATGACAGCGAATAATTGCAGCCGCAAATAAATCCCGACACACAGTAATCTATGATTTTATAGTCTGTAATCCCACCATTTAGTAATACTTTTCCAGTATTATTTCTGTTGAAGTCAAGAACAGAAAAACTTAGAACTGTGCGCTATGACCCAATAAAACATGAAGCATGTGTAAATGAATGGCCACACCCATCATTAAATTTCATTTCAAAAACTGCTCACCAGCCGGATGGTTAACAAAAACAGATTTCATTCAAAGTTCATACAGATATTGGGCAGGTCTAGTAGATGTTATGCATCTACTTAGGAGTTACAAATATATGATACTTAAGCAAAATGTCTAAATTTTATATACAATATTTTTGGCTAAATTTCAACAAATATCATTGCTACTTGTTCAGCTACTCTGAGCAGCAAATAGGTAATATAAATTTAATACCTTAATAGAACTCTTGTAGAAAAATCACTATCTCGCTTCTGAACAGTAGAGACACTGTAACTATTTTATTAAGGCACACGTCAATTAAAATATCAAGCCAGGCTCATTTTTCAAAATGTTATAATTATATGAGAAAGAGAAGGTATTTGAAAGAATAATGAATACAGCTAAGTCAATACTCTTTAGTACTCATCATATCACTACCAAAAGAATTTCTTAGAGGACTTCAATTTTTTGAGCTGCGGACCCTAGCATCAATTTTTATTTGTTTGCATAATCAGAGCACTCAAATGAGCACGCTCAAATTTAAGACTACACCCACTTAATTTGGTGCTGTAATATGAATTCTTTAAATGAATTTTTAGAATGATTTTATGAAAAAGCAACAAAAGTCAAACATCAATTTGTTCTTGAAAAATTATAAAGAGAATGCTGCTGACTCACTGTTATTGTACATGTTACATTGTTCAGCCTTGCATTACTTTGCTGTGGCAATAAAAGGTGTGGCTGGAATAAAAGGTGTCACACTGCCTACTTCAAAGTTACCAATGGTGAGTTACGAGTAAAAAAGCTTGATTTTAGAACACAATAATTGGGGTCTATTTGTTGTATACAAACATGACAGTAAGAATCTGTATTTAAAAAGACTCTGACAGCTCTTCCTAGAGTACAGCACCTTGTGTCAACTGTTGCAGTAAGCATGTCTGGAAATTGCAATGGGCTGTGCAGACATTTCTTAATAATTACATTCATAGCTTTCAATAATTATTATTCATACGTGAATAATTTTATTTACTGATTATTAACTATATTTATAAGCATTACCATGGTAACAAAATGGTGCGTAAATGCAAACAAACTGTCACTGATGGCTTCTACAAGGAGCTACATGAAAAGAAAGAAATTGTTGAAGAAAATGATTAATGTTTGGTAGTTGTGGTAATGAAACGAATGTATATGAATTGAAGAGATTAATAGAGAAGAGAGTTAAGCAGCTATATACTCCAACAATGTTTTCTGAAGACTGATAAAATTACAGGGCCATGTATTGTATTTAGTCCATTGAAAGGGTACTCAAAGAGGACGCTACAAGGGTGCCAGCTGAGGTATCACTTTCACAGCAATAACGTACAATTTGCTTGACTGACAGTTCATTTATTATCATTAGGTTATATCATGACCCAGATACATGCAGGAGAGTACTGCTGGATGACATTAGTACACTATGATCGGCATTACCATCTAGTTTAAAATCTGGTATCCTCCATAGAAGTAAAATGTCAATACCATTTCATCGCTTTAACTATCTCTTTAATGACAAAGAAAAAGCTGTTAAGTGTAAGCCTGGAAAGTTATGTCAGAGCTGATTTTCCATCACAGTACTTTGAAAATAGTTTCTTTAATTTCTACAATAAGTTTGGAGAAGGTTGCTGTGTTGAATATCCTATTTTTATGTACAGCCATGTGTCATAACACCAAAAGTCATTCTATTACGATGAGACACCCAGAACCAGAGGCTGCAACGAGACTCTTTCTCTGACTATTGTCAAATCATGTCAGTCATGACTGCATGTCTAGGCCATGTTGTTATCACTCCATTCTGATTTATAACACAATAAATAATTCCATGTATTATTATTATTATAACAGACTAATAATTGACAACAAAACTACTGGACCACCCTATTTACATGTGTCTGGCTCAAGCTCAAACCTATCTCTTCTTTTCTCAGATACCAAGTTCCCAGTACGACATGTCTTTCTTTTCATATTTCCTCTTCTCTCTTTTGCCATGTTGCAGTTCTTTCACACGACAGTCTGTTAATAAAATGTCTCTGGCAGCATCTTGCTGATTGCTAGAGAAGAAATGCTTCCTAGTGCAATCGTTATTCTTCTCAACCCCTATATAGTGACTTAAGTGGATGTTAGTAGAGAACATACGTACTTTGACCGCTAAATTGTTTCATACCAGCATGGCATTTCATTAATTGAGGTATGTGATATCACATAACGTGCATGTATAGGACACTTGCTGTAACCATCATATGGAAATTATAGGACGTCTTGTATCCAGTGTTAGGCCTTTTAATGTAAATAGATGATATGATGGTTTAATTTTACTTCGCTTTGTACTGTATGAATTTCATCATTAGTTGAATTTGAGATGCCAATCATCTCATAAATCACATTGAAATCCTACATGTATGTTTCAGGCTTCTAAATATAAGTCATGATATAAACAATGCTAACCAGCCAGTGTTTTTTCAATGCTGACCAAGTTCTTTAGGAAATACATAGACCAGTTTTGGTGGTAGTTCAATTAAGAACTTTTTCTGGTCACTGCCACGTAATGATGTCCAATCCAACTTCTTCTTTGTGTCAGACTTCTATACCTTTAATATAAAGCTAATGCAAGTCCCGTCTTAAATTTAATGGTTTTCACATAAAATGTTAATCGACACGATCGAATTGAATTACTTATGATGTCGACATGTCTAGGCTAATCTTTGTAGTCATGTTCTTCAAGTCAAGTTCATGTCATATTCTTCAAGCCTAATAGATTTCTAATCAATATGTCTGAAATTCTTAACACCAAATGTAACTCATCAATTAAACCTGTAAAAGTCAGTTATATTATGATTATGTGCATATAATTTTATGTTATGTTAGAAACATTTTCTAGCTCTGTTTCAAACAAAGGTTCTCAAAGTATGCCCATAGCCTGAGACTTAGCACAAGACTTTATTGAAGCCATTAATCAAGCTTCCTTTTTCTCATACTCTTCTGTGGAACAGTTGTATCAAATCTGTAAACAAAGTAAGTTACATCGCTGTACATAAATAATTGGCAATGGAATAATTAACCTTTTGTCCTTTTTAATGGTGCAGTATAAGCATAATTAATTTGAATGAGCGGCATTCATTCCCAGAAGCACTAGCAAAAACTAAAGCATTTATAATATTGTTATGGTATTATGTGAGATTACTTCTAACATTATAGTCTTCTCCAAAAATAAACTTAAGGCTATAAGGGATTTTCTGAATTATTATATGAGGTTTCCCAACCATTTCACTGATTTCATGAATGACAGGTGCAAATCTATTCCTTATGACATCATATTTCTTTTCCCTTTATAACTACTAGAGTGTGTGTGCCTACAGTAATTAAAAAGAATAAGGATGATGATGTTTCATACCGATGACGAATTCAGGTCAAGCAAAGGAAATGACAATGATAAGAGTAGAAATGAAGATGAACAGTAAAATGGTGCTCCGTCACCAAATATTTTTACTTTGACAGGTGACTGTATAAGATGCCCACTGTCCATCAATTGAGATAGTGACAACTGCAGGTAATTGTGAAATGGAACATAAAATGCTTGAGGCAGCTTTTGAATATCAACACTTGATGAAAGACTTTTTCTGACATTTTTTACTGTATACAATTGGGGAAGAGACTTTTGGATCATAGATAGTTCGTTATAGAAATCATCTGAAATGCAATAGGAAACCAGGAGATAGAGAATTTGTTGTACAGATGAAGGTGAATCAAGCCAGTTGCTTGATTGTTGACTAGAGGCTTGAGATGATGATGCTGATTCCATTTCAGGTGTTAGAGCAGAAAATGAAAAGGAAGTTGACAAAAAACTGGTGTTGACATTGTAGAGAAAGAGGAAGATGATGATGGATGGGTAGGTAAATAGTTATATATAAATGGATCATATTGCAAATGCTGTGTCTCAAATGAAACTTATGTTATGTCAAGATGGTATGAGCCAGCAAACATTAAAGCTTCCTTAGCTGACTCCATTAATGTGGCTGATTGATGCCTTTGCTGGCACTTACAAACTTTATCTAAATCTTTCCCTAATTTTTTGTGGATTGGCTATTTCTTAGCTGTACTAGCTCTTTCTCTTTACTTTGTACTGTTGCTCAGTCTGAAGAAATTAATATTAACACTGATACTCTCCTCATGCTACTACACGTACTTCTACTCTGCACTCAGGCATCTCCAAAGCTGCTATGTACACTCAATTCCTTACCTTAAGGCCTCCATTGCTTCCTCAGGATTAACAATGTCAGACGTAAGCACATCCATTAATGTGGATTGACTCAATATTTTCCGCCTGTTGCCTTGTTTCGCATTTGTAGTTAATTGTGCTCCATTCATCTTCAAATGTCCAATGACCTTAATAGCGATACTCCTCCCAGTTGCTTATTCAGTTGGCTGACCATAGCTGTAGCTGAAATGATTGTGTGCTGCATACCACTGGTAGAGGAACTTGTTTGCTATAGAGACAAAAGGAAACATCATTAGCTTTAGTAGCTCTTAATATATTAGTACAAGCACTGTCAATAGTGACAGAAGACACTATAATCACACAACTGCAATGCACATAATGCAATGACCACAAAGGGACAGTTGAAAATCTTTTGCTACGATCAACAGGTAAGTCCACACTTTTGTTACAAGATTGTCAATTTGTTGACACCATATCTTAGCTTCAAAGATCTATTTATGAGGGCAAAGGCAATTAAATGAAATTAATCTTACAATACACTCTTATAATTCGCAAAAAATTAAAAATATTGTAACCACGCTAATATGTCAATGTAAAATGGCGGCGTCAAAGTCTTCAACTTTGTGACGAAAGTTCCATGGTTCAACTTCATTTCTTTAGTAAACCTACACAGCAAAAACAGGTTTTATATGATGCTGATAAGTTCTCCTAGTAAAACAAAGCAAAATGTTACATTTATAATTAGAAATGAATAGTAAAAACAGAGCTCCCTTTGTTTTGCTAAGCATTTTCATTTCTTAATATGTGGAAGTATATGATTTCTTTTCCGTGTCCAAGCATATCTGGACATGGCCATTTTTGAGCTACTATATCTCAGGACTGAAGAATTTAGGACAAAATTCCTACACTTAAATTATCACCTTTGCCTAGAGAGAGTTTCCTGGAAGCCTGACTACTTTTAGCAACATTACTGGTTCGTGCTGCTTAGGACAAAAAGGATGAAAAAATGAACTGAAGAAAACCTACTTTTGGCAATGGCTTTATTTGACAGTGGGACTCATTAGGACCTGAGCCAAGAGCTGTTATAATTAAAAACAGAAGAAAGGAGTTATTTTCTAAACAGAAACACTGACAGCAGAGAAAGTACAGTGGAACCTCAAAATGCGGACCCCCTGAGATAAGGACATCGCAACAATAGGGACATTTCCTGCTGGTCCTGCACAAAATACTATGGGGCACTGTATCAGCAAACCCCTTGGTTAAATACAACTCCCCATTATGTATTGTGGACACTTTCTTGATCCTCTACAGCTTGCTGGCAATTAAAAAAGCCCCATAATGCAGACATTAGCCACACCCTAGGGTGTGGTATTACTACAAACAAGCGCAACTGTGTAAAAATATTCCTATAATTGTTTTCACCCCCTTGCAAGTACAGCTGGGTTCTTATTACGACTTATGAAGGTTCTCTCTACCATCTAATGCTTCCAGAAAAGACTTTAGACAGTATCTCTATGTTCTTTCACTGTTTGAAAGCTCATAACTTTGTCCCATGAGCACACTGCCATTTTTGTTTGCCGTGACCACACCCACTTACGTAATTTTGCGGGTGGTTGCTAAGGCTTGTTATTTCTACAATACAATGTGTATAGAAGAAACGTATGTGTGGACATACAAATAAGTAAATATATATATAGATAGCGCGACGGTGAAATCAATTATAGGACGACCTGGGGGCTACGCCCCCAGATCATTAAAACAATGGTGTTACAAAGAAGAGAGAGCAATCAATTTCAAACATGCACATGCAACTATAGCATATGTACAAAACAAATATGAAACCTCACTTTGTAAGCCAGTAAATTTCACTAACCTATCTTCAAGATTTGCAGCCTGAGACCTTGTCATTTGTTTTTCTATAATATACATTATATGCATAAGACATAGCATTATCAGACAGGTTATGTATCTCAACATAACAGGTTATGTATCTCAGTTTGGCTCCAGCTAGCCAAACCGAAGAATTTGAGGACGACTGGTTTAATGAGGTGCTCACATGTTTTAAGGAAAAAAATAACCTATCATCACATGATGCAGGCAGTGCTTACATGTGTGTGTACATGTGTGTGTGTATGTGTGTGTGTGTGGGGTGTCATGAAGTTATTAGTGAACTTTGAGCATGGTGCTATGACAATGGGTACAACTGAACCCAGTAGCTAGCAAACCAAGGACTATTTATGTCTAGAGCCTATGCATAATTGTCCGTGCAAGATACATACTTGTTTCCAAGTCCAGCGAAATGGAAAAAGATTCACCTGAATTATCAATGCGGGTCTGAGGATGAGGTCCTAGATGACCAGTTAGTATTGTCCAAATCTAACTTGTTGGTTGCCATGATTCTGCAAGAGAAAAATAGATATAAAGTTATGCATATTTGGATCTTACCCATTTCTTTAGTAACTGCTATAACTCTGAGCTGAGCTCTCTTGCTGCACTAAGCTCTCACGCCACCTGATCTGATCTAGTTTTAAAATCTATTATCAGCTGACTCATAAATCTGAATAATAATAGGCGTATAATTTAAAAAAAATTCCTATGATTGCTTTCACCACCGTATGTGTATCGCTCACATTTATATATAATTCCTAGCAATAATTAATTATTATTATTATTATTACCCTTGTTAATGATGAATTTATAAATGCACGTTTAGACAACACAAATACAAACAAACAAATATAATCATACAATGTTATTTTTATAATGACTCTGAAGAGCTTGATTATATTTATATTATCATCACTCCGAAGAGCGTAATTATATTGATTGTATCATCACTCCGAAGAGCATGATTACATTCATCTTATCATCACTCCAAAGAGTAATACATGTACTGTACATGTATTGCTACATGTTTTATGTTCTATTATAATTGTATCTTCACTTAATACTAAAAGAAAGAGTGAGATTTTGCTTCTGGGCCCACCATCCATCTCCAATGTCCATTCCATTATTATGAATAGATTCAAGATTTTTATGGAAAATACTATAATATAGACCACAACACTTTTGTAGTTTCAATTTGTATTATAGTATTATCCCTTGACTATCCCAGAAGACACATCATTTATAATCTATGTTTCCTTAGTCTATCCATTTCATCATTTGCTACTGTTGATGATGCCATTTTCTTTTCAACTAGTCCTAGTACAGCAACTCCTTGGAGTGTTCTTACTCTACTTAAGGCAATGTATGCTATTCCATCTTCAAACATTTTAGGACCTAGATCGATTACAGCAGCATCAAGGGATAGACCCTGAACCTTATGTATAGTAGCTGCCCACCAAGATAGTAGTGGCAACTGTGTACGCCGTAATGTTACTCCTTGCTTGCCATAGAACTTGGCTGCGACTGGTTCTATTGGGACAGCTTCTTGTTCTAATGAATCATCAATTGTGACACGGCTCACAAGACCTACACGTGGGTCATAAAATTTTACATATTCTTTTTGTGGTGAATCCCCTTTCTTGCTCGATCATCAGCTCCATTTGGCCAAGAGAAACCCACAATTATTTCTCTAGCTCCATTTACTAATCTTTCTTCACATATAATGTTACATCGTAACATAACCTGTGCTCCAATAGCTAACTTCACTTTACGTGATGAGCCAGCACATTCTTTATCACTGGAAGGTATGAGCGAATCTGGGACTTCTTCGTGTGATACTACACCAGGGATTAGTGTTGTTGACTCTACTATTGAATGCTCTGCATCAAAATCATATATTTTAGTAAAGTGTGATAAATCTTTCAATCTACTGTCATTATAATCTTCTACTTGTTCTTTTAAAGGCAATAGGCATAATGCATCAACAAATGGAGGTTGACTGACATCAATGGGATCCCTGATACCACTTGTCAAACTCGATCGGAGTACACTTATGTTAGACTTTGTCTGAGAACCAATTCTCACACGGTTGAGAATTTCTGAATATTCTGTGTCTTGTCTTTGTCTCATATTCTGAGTTAGTTCTATTACTTTGAACTCATCCCTCCACAAGTGTGTTGAGCCTGGATTACAGCCTCTGCCATCTTGAAATACAAATTTATCCCTCACTGGTGGCAACTGAAAGAAGACACCTACTGCAATGACATTCAGTCTTCCAAAGAGAACTTCAGTGTCATCGGTTCCTTTAATTTCAGTTAGCCACTTGCCAATGAAGGATATTGTTAAGTATGAGACCATACTTATCTCATCTATTATTATGGTGTTGATATATTTCCAGGATTGTCTTAGCTTCTTTAATCTCTCAGCTCCAAGCTTTCTATAGGTAGTGGAGTTTCCATGCTCTACAGGAAGATTGAGAGCCCGGTGAATAGCCAATATTAAAGGCTGCAACACCATTTGGTGCCATTAAAACGCAAGCATTTGCAGCACCAATTGAGCTCTTTCTAAATGCTCTTTGATGGCATATATTACATGGCTTTTACCAGTCCCAGCACCACCTGTTATAAACATGTGAAAAGGGCTGGGCATTGACTCCCTGATCCTCATTTAAAAAACATATACTGCTCTTGAATACTCAAGGACCTTCTCATAAAGGACTCTCTGGGAATCATTGAGACTCGCTATCCTTGCTTCAAAATCTGAGTCTGAAAAGCAACACCTTGAGATAGAGTCTAGAGTCAATGCGTCACCAATATTTTGTTCTATATTTTGACCGCATAGATTTTGATGATCATTATTATCATTAACTAGTAATGCAGCTACATTATCAAGATATAATTCATTGTCATATATTGGATCATGACCATCACCTTCATGATTATTTTCTAAATTTACTTGCGAAGTACTAGGAGCAACAGGAGCGTACACAGCATTGCCACATTCATTTAATACACGAAATTGCTCTGTCGCTCTTTGTACTTCATCAGCAAAAGAGGAGTTTTGTTTTGTACTTAATACTTGTAATTGATTCTTATTTGCTACAAATATTGCTCGAGCAGAGCCATGATTTCAAATTATATCAAGAGTCTCATTTCTCCATGGGAGATAAAGAAAGATTAACTGATAATAGTAACTATCACCATGAGACTCTTGTGTTAATGTAGGTAACCTCAAGCATGCTTGCTTTCATTTTAGACATATCTTTCCTAGACCATTCTTTAGTTTATATCTAGGTTGGACACGGGAAGTTGTTGGCTCAAAACTTTTATCAGCAACGTTGAACCATACAGAAAAGCGTGCAAGACTGATACTGTCAAATGGTTCTCCATCAGGACGAGATTGATATCTCTCTAATGGACCAGGATTGAAGACATCATCATCTCTAGTACTCATAGCTCTTAGCTCTCTATTTTGACTCAAATAGTCTTCCTCTTTTTTTGGTCTATTTGTATTTATGAATACATACAATGGACTAGGGCCTCTTAAATGTAAGCTAGTAGTATAAAATACTGCCTCTTGAGCACCAGTATCCAGTGACTTATTAAAGTGTTTCCTATTTTTAAAAGTTTTTGTCTCTGGGTACAATTTACTGGCAGTTTATCTAACTTTCTTGCTATCTGTTGTTTAATCTGTTCTGGCTTGTCTTTACACATATATAATATCATACATATTTTGCTGCTCCATAGACATATCCTACTACTTGAATGTCCATGTTAGCTCTCCATGCTTTCAGTAGGTCAGAATTGTATGGATTTATCATCTCAGCACCTACTTCACATTTCAGTATGTAGAAACGTGCTTTGTTTCCAACGTCAGCATTTCTTTTCAGACAAGTTGTGTCACTTCGTTTTTTTGGGTAATCAAAGTACAGCAATTACGTCCATTTTTTCTACACATTTGTGTATGATTACGCTTTTGTAATTGCAATGCTAAACCTTTTAAATCATCATCTTCGCCATCTTTTGGTATGTGACAACTAACATATGTATCAATGAAACCCGGAGCTTTCCTTCTACCTTCTACTGTCTTAATATCTGGTGCATTTCTACCCATAATAGACTATGCATATGAGGTGAGCCTCTTTGTTGAAACTCAACTCTCCAAAAGTAGTCTTTTATTTCACCTATAGGCTTACTAGCACCATTTAATATATGATTCATAGAAGCTTGAAAGCGATGAAAGAAATGATGTGTTACTATCACTGGATAGGTACTTAGTAACCTTCTATGCTCTGAGGTAGACAGCTCTTTTACTTCATCATCACTAAGGTGCTTTCCATCACATTTAGCAAGTATACACATTAAATCAAACCAATTCATATCGTCTGCACTTAATGTGATAAGAAATTAAGTGGACACAGCGTTCTAAACATGGCAAACAAATCAAGCTTTGCTTATTCCAGTATGCTGAGGAACCCATCCCCCATATATTACGCTTAAATGCATATAAATTTTCTGAAAGCTCCGGCTTTTAACTTAAATCTACATGTAATAATTCACCAGTAGTGATACGCCCTGTGCTATCCAATAATAATAATGATTTAATTCGCATTGCAATTGATACAGAATCACGTAACCTCATCTTTTCAAGTAAATTTGCTGACAATAGTAAATATGAAATATTATTAGACCAGCGATTGTCAGCATTAAGTAAACGTGATTGAATACAATCAGTAAGTGATATTGGCGGATCTCTTACTCTATGAAGGCCATTGACTTCATTTGGAAATAGACATGGAAATGCCATTTCTTCTGCACTATTATCTTCATAGAAATTTATTGGCTGGCCACTTACTCAAGGAAGCTGATGCACTTGATTATTATATGACCCATTTGGAATGAAGTCAATGGTTTCTAAATTTGGAAGTGTATGATCCGTTCTGACTACTGAACATTTGAATTGGGGAGGATCAATGCTAGTACTATTCTCAGGTTCATTATTACTGTCATAACAATCATTGATAACAGATTCATCAATATTCACATCACTATATAAAGTATTATTATCTTTTAGCCACCGAAGAGCATCAACAACCAATGGCTTCCTCACCACAAATAGGGTTCTAGTACTAGTAGATGTTCTTGATTGTGTAGTGTTAGCACAAGCACTGTTTGTACTGGTACTAGCTCTATCACTCTCAGGCCTACTACTAGTACTGGCTGTTTGATCACCAGGTGGAACAGAGACTGTAGCATTTGTGCCCTGTGGTGGCTTAACTAACACAACTCCGTCACTATTTAGTGGCCTAGAAAAAGAATTAAATACTTCAGACACATTTGCAGGAAAATTAATGGTCTGGCAGCCAAAGCTCATTGACCCAATGGCAACACTATTAGCTTCACAAAGGCTTGCTGCACTCTTGAAATTACTCTCTGTTTCATTGTGATCAAACGGAACAGTTCTGGTGGGATTTCATCTGTATGTCTATTTTATATTGTAGCAAATAGAGGTATTTTCCCTTTCTTTATAAAAGCCATACATCTACCACAAACATGCACACTACCATTTACTACTTTATTAGGCCATAAGGCTGATAATTGTGTATAATTAATACATGCATGATAATGCTGTTGCAATACATCATGTACTTTACTCACATCAGCCAATGATACACCTTTTGGGTAGCACAGACGCTCACATGCACAGCATTTGCTGGTCAGAGATAGTCGTATTCCTTTTTGAAATTTTTCGGTCTTTTTGTGACAGTTGGTGCAGACGTATGCTTTCAGGAGAGGGAGCTGGGCATGTCTGGTTAGCTGATAGTTGTTTGGCATACTGTATCATTCTTTCATTTCTTTGAGCTCTTTGCTCTTCAGTTTCTGAGTCTCTCCTTTCACGATCTCTTTGACGAAGATCTAAAAGACGTACTTCTCGTTCTAACTTAGATTCATTTGTCTGCCTTTGTTGTGATCTTCAATTTACGTCACTGAGACGTACCTCTCTCTGAGCTTCTAACTCATTGGCACATTGTTGCTGAGATCTCAGCCTCTGGTCATCAACAAGTGCTTCTCCTTGAGCTTCAGACATATTGGGACATTGCTGCTGAGATCTCTAAATCAGGTCATCATGACACACTTCTTATTGAGTTTCAAACTCATTGGCACATCTTTGCTGAGATCTCTGCCTCTGGTCATCACGACGTACTTCTCTCTGAGTTTCAGACTCAATGGCACATCGTTGCTGGGATCCATGCCTCTGGTCATCAAGGTGTGCTTCTTTTTGAGCTTCTGACTCATTGGCACATCTTTGCTGAGATCGTAATCTTTATTATTAAGCGAGATTCTCTTTGAGATGGGGATTCATTTTCTATGGATCTCTTCATTCTTGCAAATTCCCTCATCTGTCTCAACATTCTTCCTTTTTCTACCATGGATTTTTTTTATCTCTATTGCCTTTTCTTTTCTTTATAATACTCGGTACGTCTCTTTTTATTAGTATTGCAAACATCTTGTAATGGTACATGGTGCTTAAGGCCCCAGAATCAGTCACTCGCCTTTTTTTGCATAGCGATACTGTTGTAGTGTGTGCATTTTGTTGTTTAGTGGACTCCAGCATCCACTGGTGTAATACTCTCTTCTTTGTTACTCTTTGTACAGAAGTTTCCTTCTTCCAAAAGCATTGTAACTGCATCTTACAATTCTTTGTTGCTTAGTTATGGATTTTCAATTAAGGCGTGGCTTGTTTTGATTGGTCAGTATTTTAATTATTATTAAATGTAAACCTATTAATTAATGAATTCTTGACACATTAATTATTATTGGATAATTGGCTCCTAAATTATTAATGACAACAGCTGCATTCACTGATTTCATATTATATATTTCAGTGAGTATACTGAATAAAAGTTACATTGGACTCAGACATTGAAGAATAAAACCTAGCTCTACTTTATGATGTAAATGTTTGTATGATAAAGTTACAATGGTGAGAAAGGAAGTTAGTTATTTTACCTCTTGTGTTTCACAGCTTTCTTTAGTTGTTTAATAGCTCCTTTAAATGTGACTGAAGTCAACTCTAATGTGTTATTTGCTGCTCCTGAATCCCAAAATGCTGTCATGACTGTTCAAATTCGCCATCGGGTGGTTGCTATGGCCCATTAAAATTGTTACTTCTGCAATACAATGTGTATAGAAGAAATGTAAGTGTGGACATGCAAATAAATAAATAAATATAGATATATATAGATAGCGCGACGGTTAAAACAATCTTAGGAACGACCTGGGGGCTACATACCCAGGTAGTTAAAAATTATTGTAATGTATTGACTAAATTAGAGTTTTAAATGAGGTCATGATGTCTCTCAACCAGCGCAAGTATGCATAAAAGCGATACTTGCAAGGAATTTCCAGTCCATATACAGCTACTGTGTTGCCAGTGACTTCAATGACGGCATTGTTACCATCTCTTGCCAGAAATATAGAAAAAAAGGACAGACAAATTAGCACAAACATGACCAA